GGGGGTCCCTGGGAAGGCGCCTGTGAGAGCCGGGTGGAGGGCTCCAGCCCTCAAGGCGCCCAGCGCAGTGCCGCCCCTCCCCCAGTCCTCCTCCAGGGTACGCGGGTGAGCATGGGCTGAGCCCAGGCGCTGCGAGGTGTCACAGGTGTGTGGCATCGGGCGTGCCAGGGATTGTGGGAGAGCCCGCCCTCCCACCTCCACCTGTTCCCAGATGTCCTTCTGCCCACCCAGGCGCCTGGTTCCTGAGCTCCGGGGGGTTCCAAGGTTACTAAGCTACTGGTTTTTGTTGACTTTTAAATATTTTCTTCTCAGGGAGAGGGGGAGAGGGACAATAGTCAGAAAAGAGCAAATCAAAACAAATCAAAACAAGCCCCCCCTCCCCAAAAGAAAGCCAACCCCCATCCACCGCCGGCACACAGGTCGGAGGCCCCTGAACAGTCACCTGCTGGAGCGCCAGCCGGCCGGAACCGAACTGCTGCTGCCCCGGCCTCACCGCCCGCTCTGGTGAATGAAGGGCGGTGGTGGATGGTCTCCCTGCCTTCGCGCCCTGGGGGGACAGAGGGGCTTCCGGAAAGACAGGAGGAAGATGGCCAGTGGAAACGGGCTCCCTCCCTCCTCCACCCTGGTGGCCAGGCGCCCCTCCGCCCTGGGCCCATTCCCCAGATACATCTGGATCCACCAGGACACACCCCAAGACAGCCTAGACAAGACCTGCCATGAAATCTGGAAGAGAGTCCAGGGCCTGCCCGAGGCCTTGCAGCCCTCCACCTTGAAGGAGCAGCTCTCTGGCCCCGTGGCTGGGACTCCGGCAAACACCGGGCTCAGCTTCCAAGAAGAGTGAGTGACCCCCTACAGGGCTGGCACCAAGGGAGGAGGGAGGAGATGAGGTCAGACCTTCTGGGGGAATGTTCTGGCCAGTTCTTCAGTCTGGTTAAACCCTAAAGGCTGTATACTTTTTCTCCCCTCCCCCATAGTCCTTTGTTCAATCTTTATAGGAGCGTTAACTAGGGTCCCAGAGTTACCTGGGTGAAGGGCCAGGCCAAGGTCCTCTTTCTGCTGCCCCTTCACCAGCCCACTGAGGGGATAGTTCTCATCTTAAAAGCATAAACAATGACATGTGAACCTGAGGACCTTGAAAAACCACCCAAGCCAGGGCCGAGGGTTAGATGACCATGGCTTTCCCCAAAGGCAACTGGAAGATTCTTTCCCCCTCCCACCTCCAAAGGCTAGGCATTGGCACAGAGGAGTCTGGTGGATTTAAACCACATCTGGAATTCCCTAATACCGGGAGCAGCTGTCCCATTCAGACTCCACAGAAGCTGCTGCAAGAGCGCACATCAAAATATTTACTGGGAAGGCACTGACATATTCAGAGGACATAATAGAAAATTAAAGTGTGGGGAGATGGCTGGAAATAGCCCGTTTCCTGCTTGGGAAACCCTGTGTCTGGGAAACACAGAGCTAAATGTTTCCCACCAGGGCAAGGAGGGGCAGATATTGTGGGGGATGGATATACACAAGGAGAGGAAGAGGAGCCCTCGTTAGGAAAAGCAAGGAAATTTGCCGTTGAGCACTTGTTCGATGCTTTTCATCTTCAAAGTGGGCCGCAAACATTAATTAACCCTCCCAGAGCCCCTATGAGACAGGTATTAGTGTCCCCATTTTACAGATGGATTACGTGTTAATAATTAAGTACCAATTAAAGACTAAGTGATAATTAAGTGTTGACTGTTCCAACACATGCTCCAGCTCAGTTCAGAGCTGCTCTGGAGTGAGGGGACCGTTCAGGCAATTAGCAGCTGCATCCAGTTTCAGGGATTTCCAGGCAAGAGCTTTAAAGAAGGCAGCGTGTAACTGCCACCCAGGCCTGCACTACCTGCTGTCCCTTTTGGGGCTGCAGACAAAGGTGGAGGGCACGTTGGCTGTTACTGCTTTCCCTGCCCTGGGCTCAGCACAATATGATGGGGATAAGAATGGCTTGACTACCGCCAAAATCTTGCTGTCCAGCCCTATGGTGGCACTGAACCACCTCTCCTCTGCCCATTGCCATCTGCTTTGGGACAGGGTCTTGGCAGGGGACCCATGGGGCTGTAGTCAGGCTCTCAATGGTCAAGGAGCTAATTGTCCACTTGGTGAACCAGAGTCAGTGGCAATTTCCAGTAGATGGCACCCTCTCTGCCAGGTCACACCTAGTTAATGGAGACACACTCTACTTCCAATCTGCACTTGGCCGAAAAGTGAACTGACGCACCTTTGGCCAGTTGCTTAATTCCATTTGGCTTGTTTTTCTCATCTGCAAATTGAGGATGATATGCCCTGCCTTGTCCACCTCAGAGGTGATAATGAGGACCCAATGTGATGGGAGGCAGGAGACTGAAAACTGCATTATACAAATGAGGCTCTCCTTAAATGCCATTCTCGGGATTGGGTTTGTTGTTGTTGTTGTTGTTGTTGTTGTTGTTGTTGTTGGCTTCAATCTAGAGTTTTCACACTATGCTCCTAGACCCTAGGGTGCTGCAGGGGTCACCTGGAGTCGAGTGGCCTGGTGGCTGGGCCCCAATCGCCCCTTCAGCCAGAGCTGTTCTGCTTTTATAGCTTTTACTCACTGGAGTTCTGAGTAAAGACTGCGCTTGAAATAAAAAGGTTCTGCTACTGAGAAAAGAGCTGGGAAACCACTGACTTAGATGAATAAACGGTGTCATAATCGGGTAGATATCAACCAAGCAGAACACAATGAGCTATTCTTGAAAAAGGCAGCTGCGATGGTGGAGCCAGATAGCTCTGGTTTCAGATCGCCATGCAGCTCTGTGCCAGCTGCGGGATTGGTCTAATTTATGCGAGCTTCAGTTTCCTCATCTGCCAAATGGAGATGATTACTGTGCACTTCATAGGGTGGTTGGGATGATTAAAGGAGATATTTAAACATTCCTGGTAATAACTAGGATTTGCAGAAATTCCTCATCATGATAATGATGATGATGATGATGATTTCTTCAAGCCCTACAATTATTTTCTGGGTGGGGGTGGGGGTAGGCACTATTTTAAATTCCCCCTCTTTTCACTTTTTATTATGCAAATTTTCAAATGTATCAAATAGAATAGTATAGTGAATGTCTATATGTCTGCCACTGAGTTTTGTGATCAAATTTGCGCCATTCTTGTTTCAGTTTCTCCTTCCCCTGTTTTGAAGTGAAATCCTTTTACACAGGAAGGGACAGGTTTGGAGGGGTTAATTTCTTTGCCCACAGCCCTATAGTTAGAAGTGGTGGAGTTTCAGAAAGCAGGCCCAGGACTGGCTTAGCCACCCTGTGGTAGTGTTGGCTACCTTCCCCTAGAAATTGAGGCATCTTTTGGGATAGTCAGAATATTTGGCAGTGCCATATTTGAATGATCACATATAGATAACAGATTTCAAATCCAGGGCGCTGTCCAGTGTGTTTTGGGCTGGCTTCAGGCCCTCAAGACCCCTCTCAGCCAATCTTCCTACTCACTGCATAATTGGTAGACCTGGTTTTGGTGATGTTTTCCACTACCGGGCAGCTAGATGAGTACATTCTAGAACTCTTGTTAGGTAGAAATTTTTTTCTTGACTTCATCTCTATGTATTTCAGAAACGCAAACATCTCAAGTTTGAAAGGGACCTTCGAGGCCATTTTGTGCTGCTTGAGTCCCTCCTCAATCAAGATCCTTGCGAAGTGGTTATCGACTTTTACACTTTCTCAAATGGGGAACTCACCACTTCCTAAAATAGTTCTTTCCCTTGTGATGGACCCTACTGTCAATGGACCACTGAAATCTGTCTCTATCAGACTAATACCCATTGATCTGGATTCTGCCCTTAGGGCTCCAAACCAAGTCTATCCCCGATTTCTCTCAATTGCCCTTTAGATGTTAAAAGATGGCAACAATATTTCTCCTAGGATTTCTGGTTTCTATAGGCTGAATTTCTCTGGTTTTCTAAGTGTCCCATCATATGCCAGCTTGGTCAGTTTCCTGCCCACACAGCTGGTCCTGTGGCCTTGCAGCAACCAGAACCAGGAATGATCCAATCCGTGCAGATTGGATCCTCCCTTAATATTCTGTATTTGTGGTAATGGCAACTGATGCCATGTTTGCTTTTCTCCCCAAGCTGACTTCACTCTGTGCGCACAGTTTGAGTTTATTCATTCAATTATTCATTCGACAAATATTTATTAAGTATCTGCTATGTGCCTGGCACAGTGCTAAGAGCTGGCGGGATAGAGCTGTGAAGCTGATAGGGTCCTGCCCTCCATCAGCTTCCATTCAAGTAGGGGAGAGAAACAGAAAACAAATAAATAAAAGACTAGAATAACTTCAGATGTGAAAAGAACTGGTGGTCTAGTTGGAGGAAACCAATAATACACATATAAAAATAACACAAGTAATTTCAGATAGAGATGAGTGCCCTGATAGAAATAAAACCAGGTAAATTACTAGGGAGAGCATCTTTAGATGGGGTGGTCAGGGAAGGACTCTCTAAAAGAGGTGGTCATTTGAGCCAAGACCTGGATACCCAGAAGGAGCCAGTCAGGTGAAGATCTGGGGAAGGATGTCCAGGCAGAAAGAAGAGCAACTGCAAAAACCCTGAGGTGGGAGTGACTTAGAAAGGGACAGCAGGGCTGGGGCATATGGAGTGATGGGACATGGGACAAGTGATATCAGGGGCAGGCAGGCAAGGTCTTAGAAAGCCTGGAAGATCACTGTGGGAGTTTATATTTGATTCTCCATGTTATGGACACCCTCTGGAGGTTTTGGGGAAGGGAGTGTAATTTGATCAGATTCACTAATTTTTAAAGATCTCTCCAGCTGCTGCATGGAGAGGGTTTGCAGGCATGTGGGAGAAGAAGTTGGGAGACCTCTGGGAAGATGCTGCAGTAGTCCAGGTGAGGCAGGTGGCGGTGCCTGGATCAGAGAGGTTGCAGCGGGGATGGAAAAAGTGTGTGTTTGGGGAGGCAGATTCAGCGTGTATTTTGAGAAGAGCCAACAGACCTGCCACAGTTTGGGGCACACAAAAGGAGACATCAAGGCTGACTTGAGGGTTTTGGCTTGAGCCACTGGTTGGAGGGTGGTGCCATTTATGGAGGTAGAGAAGGAACAGGAAGAAATTGGTTTTTGGGGAGAAATCAATAGTTCTGTCTAGTGTCGATTAAACTCCAGAATTGTGTTCTGTTATCTTTTAATTAGTCTTAAATTTGGGCTTAGAGAATCGTGGCCAGCCACTCACTGGCTCATATTCTAGGCCTACTTATTCATTCCCCCTCCTCATACAACTGCACAGCCTCAGGTGGGGGCTTTTGGATTTCCTATTGACTCCACTGCCTTGACTGGGAAGTGGCATTTGTTCATTCCATCACTTATGGATTCATTCAACAAACACTTACAGTTGCCTTCTCAGTGCCAGGGAACAAACCAATTTTTTTGTTCTGCTGTTACTTAAACAATTGGATGTGTCTTATTTTTCTAGAAAAGTTGCTTGGAATATATCCCAACTTTTATTTTTTATTATTATTATTATTATTTTAAAAAACTTGAAACCTGTTGATGGGAATGATAGGGACAAGACTCAAGTTAGGAACTTAGACTGATGTCCTAGAGCAGAAGCCAGCCCTGAGTCCAATGCTCCAGGCCTGCGTTTTCTCCCTTTGAGGGATCAAACACCTCTCTGAGAATCTGAGGAAAGCTACTATGTACCCTTGTGCCTGAAACACATCCTCACATCCCTCGATATTTTTTGAATGACTTCAGAGACCCCCTGGGACTCAGGTTGGAATCCTTTTCTCTTGGACCCAACACTCAAGTGTCTCCTTCCCCTGAGT